TCGGTAACAAGAAAAAATGGTAAATTATCTAATTTTTCTAAAAAAACTTAATATTAATAATTACAAAATAAAAATTTACGGACGAAAATAATCAAAGTATTCATATATCAAAAATTGACCATCCTATTCGTTTAGTTGAAATTTAGCACTGTATATATGCGACAAGTTTATCATATTGTGGCTGGCACGAGCTTATTGCAATGCGTAAACACAAAATTAAATGTTCATCTGTTAAACGCGACCGATATTTATTTTTTATGGCGTTCATGGTTGAAAAAGCAGAGTTGCAAAGATACGTCGATCTAAAGTATGATTTCTAATACAAAATCAATTTGTAAATATTTGGAAACGTTTCCTCAGAAATTAATTTCCAAAAATCAGTATCGCTAGATGCTCTGTATTTAAGTAATATATCGCATCTTAATTTCATAATTTATTCCTCGACCGTGACTGGTGTGGTATCTATTAAATGTCCTATTTTTTCAGATGCTCCATCAATGTTGACATTTTCATTAAATGGAAATATCATAAAATTGAGTATTTCTTCCAACCTAATTAAGTCACACAGCGAATCTTCTTTCAAATTCTTCAAACAAAACATCTAAGCGTTCGGCGAAATTTTCGAAGTCTCGGTTTTTGGGTTATATATATATATATATATATATATATATATATATATATATATATATATGGATGCACTCTTCCTCCATGGTTTTGAAGTTTCTCAATTCATGATTTCTTAATTGAGACGCATACCTTTTTATAATTTCTTTGAAAGTTTTAATCGCGCTCATCATGTCTGTTAAACATTTATTCTCTCCTTGTAGATTTAGGTTTAAGTCGTTAAGTTTTGCAGTAATATCGCAGAGAAAAGCTAGTTTCATGAGCCATTTTTAATCTTCCAATTCAGTAATGTGCTCTCCTTTCATTTGTAGAACATTTTTTATTTCTGGTAACAGAATACGAAGCCTTTTTAAAAAAGCACCACGGCTTAGCCACCTCACGTCTGGTAAAATATGAGATCTCCGGTCTCCTGATTCAGTTTCTTCCAAAGCGAAATTGTCGTCTGAAGACTTTTGAACGAATTCATGACGATTTTAAAAGCAATTTGCATTATATCATTAGACTTTAGTATTTTTGAACACAATACCTGTTGATGGATAATGCAATGATAGCTGGTAAAACTGGGAATTTCCTCATCATTATTGCACAAGGCAATAAAACCAATTCGTTTCCCGACCATTGCTGGAGCTCCATCTGTTGTAATAGAGACCAATTTACATATTGGAAAACCTGTCTTATCAATAAAGTTTTTAAATGAATTGTAGATATCTTGGCCTCTTGTTTGTCCTTTCAATGGAATTAAAGTTAATAACTCTTCTTTTGAGGTCATATCTTCGACAACCATTCTCACAAAAATGCATAACGACGCAATGTCACTAATATCCGTGGATTCATCAAATTGAAGTGATAGGAAGTTTAGTTTCAGTCCGTCACATCATAGTGTTATGCGACAAAGAAATATTATTTATTGACGATATTATTTCAGATTTGTTTTTAAAAGCACTTCTCCCACTTTACAGAAAGCTTTTTTTATCAATTATCCATCTTCGAATGGTTTTTTTCCGATTTATCAAAACTTCTGTAATTTTAAACGACGCCAATGTTTCTGCTTTAGCTTTGGTGCCTGGTCTCGTAAATATAACGATTGCTGTAAATGTAAATTCGACTTTTATTCCTGCACTTTAACTTTTCGAAGTTCACTGCCGATTGGAAAGTCTGTAGCGTATTTTAAGTGCATGGTTTTAAAATGTCTTTCGACGTTTGCTTTTTTTGGTAGTGCCACACTTGAGTTACATATGAAACAAACACATTTCTCCTTCAACATTACAAAAAAGAAATCATCTTCCCACTCATTGTGATAATGATATGCTTTACTTCTCTTAGCACTGGTACCTGACTGAGTCATTTTGGAAGTGTTGTTGAAGCAACAAATTATCGTATCAGTGCGAAAGGAAGCGAGCGACCTACAACGTAAGACGATTTAACTGAGAACTGAAACTAAACGGGTGGGTTCGACGGGTAGACTAGTCGACTCGCCGCGTCGCTATCATCGTGCCGGCTACTGGATATAATCTAAGCATCCCACTTTGTCAAGTTGTTTCTTTTTAATTCTCCACCGTAAAACGACAAATTCATTAATTTACTTTGTACAGTTTGTTTTAGGTTTTAAAGCGTAAACTGTAGTAAATTTTTATTTTAAATAATTCATTAATTCTATGTCATAAATTAAATTTTTAATATCCGAGGTCATTATCGGGATGGTCGCTTGGACTACCTAAAAAGTATTCGCGTTCGATCAGTCGACCGCGGACGACGTCTTGGCCACCATAGCAGTTGCGTACAGTTGATTAATTTGGGTATCTCATTTAAGGTTCGGGCTAACTATTTCGGAACCATGATTTTGCAAAAGCGTACAAACGAATATATATATTATATATATATATATATATATAATATCACTTAGATTAGAACACACGTATAAAATTTATTTAAGAATATAATTACAATAAAAAAAAATTATTTAAAAGCAATATTTTGGTAAAAAATGATCTTAAAATTACCTTTTTTTCAAAACATTCTCCTTTTATGAAACATGTTTTTATAATAATATTTTGCTTATGTATAGCTTAGACTTCTTCGAAGAACCTGAACTACGATTTTGAAAAATTCGCATTATTTTCAGAATAACTACGAATTGAAATGACTATTAGTGGCTTTATGTTAAAATTTCTCCGTTTTTATGTTTTGAAATATGGATAAATCCACTTTTAAATTATATATTTCAAAAACCTGCAGGCTCTGCAGAGGTCTGAGAATATATAAGAAAAATTTTATTAAGGCTTTTCCATAAAAAAAAAGGAATTTTTGGGAAAATAAATACTATGTTCATTTTTTGCCAAAATATTACATTTAAATCATTTTTAATTATAATAATATTTTTTAAAACAATTTCATACGTGTATTCTAATCTAAGTGAACCTAATTATTACAAGACTATTCGTCTGCACGCATTTGAAACATCACGGTTCCGAACGTAGTCGGAACCCTAACTTTTCACTTTCACCCAAAGACTTCCAAGGTTTTTTTTCAAACTTACTTTTCACTTTAAAACTACGTTTATTTTACTTTTATTATTTTTTTAAATTTATGCATGAATGTAAATTTATTTGTTATCCACAATTCCATAAAAAGAGTTTATTTAAAATTTATGGTTGGATAACCCAATGTCTTTAGGTTAAAGCGTAAATGAGTAAATTTATATTTTAAATAATTCGATTAATTCTATGTCATAATTAAAGTTTTACCAGGCATTATCGGGATGGTCGCTTGACTCACTAAAAAGTATTCTATTTTTCATGGACCGCAATGGACGACGCTTCCACAACAGTTGCGTCACAGTTGATTAATTTTATTCTTGTAAGTCAGGGCAACTATTTCGAACATATTTGGTAAAAGGTAAAACTTAATATATATATATATATATAATATATATATATATATCACTTTAGATTTGAACACACATAACAATTTAAGAATATATTAATAAAATATAGAATAGCAATTTTGGTAAAAAGTTAAAATACTTTTTAAAATATTCTCCTTTTTGAGAAAATGATAATAATATTTCGTTCATGTATAGCTTAAGACTCTTTCAAGTAACCTGAACTAGATTTTGAAAATTCGTATTATTTTAGAATAACTACGGATTGAAATGAACTATTAGTGGTTTATGTTAAAAATTCTCGTTTATGTTTTGAAAATGGATAAACCACTTTTAAATTATATATTTCCAAAAATCAGTCCAGGCCGAATTAGCAATATTAAATATTATAGTTATTATTCCATAAAGGAATATTGAGAAATAAATAATTGTAGTCTTCTTTGCCAAAATATTAATCATTTTATTATTATAATAATATATTAAAAACAATTTCAACGTGATTCTAATTAAGTGAACCTACATTACAACTCACGGATGGCTTACACAGTAGCTCTCAATATTTTATTAATTGTGCAATTTGTACAATTTTTATTTTTTAACCTTAGTATTATTTTAGAGACAAACACAAAATTGTTCCAAGAGTTGCTCATATGATTGTAACGTGTTAATCTAATACATTAATCTTTATTTTTTTTCTCGTTGAATAATTTTATGCTTTTTGCTATAGCTACAATTCGGCCAGAAATAGTATACATTGAATTTGTATTTATGTCCAGAATCTGGCAATAACTTGTTTATTGTACGCAGATTAAGCTTAAGTTATGCATTTTGGAATGCAATTTTAGGTAAATTACCTTATACTTGTAACGTATTTAGAAATTCTATCAATTATATTCAATCCATTATTTCATTCACCATCATAAACAGAAAGCTAGCACAAAATTAATGTTAAATTACATTTCGAATTAATACTTTAATTCAAATGCAGTGTGTGATCAAAATTTCTACAAGCCTCCCTACCTCATTCTTGATTTCAAAACAAGAATAAGTTATAATAGAGAAGCGCGAGAGGGCACATTTGACTCATTTAATGAAAATTGAAATGCGTTTGTAAGTATAGAAGATTAGATGATATGAAATTAGCACTATAATCTGAATAAAACTACATTTATTTAACTTAAGCCATATTTATTGATTCTTCAATTCCTACTAATTATTCACACTCTCCCTATATATATATATATATGTGTGTGTGTGTGTGTGTATGAGTGAGTGGGTGAGTGAGTGTATCTTGTATAAATTTTCAATCGTTAACAAAATACTTTATAATTATCCATTCAAGTTCAAATACATTTTTTTAAACTTGTAGTGGATGGCACTTGATGTTACTATAGTTTCTTTCCAAATATTAACTAAATTAAAAGTGAATAAATAGTAACAACAAACAAAGTAAATAGTCCTACAGCATATATAGAAATGTAAAATTGTACGTTGTGTCCCTGTAGCGCAAAAGATAGCGCGTTGGACATCAAACTCAAAGATCGTAGGTTCAAATCTTACCTGGGATGGTCTAATTTCTGAGGATGTGATTTCATTTTTACTATTCTGACTTTTTAGAATAATTAAATTTTATTACTGAATAATAGTAACAAACAAACAAAAATAGTCCAGCGCTATATATAGAAAGGAAAATTGCAAAGAAAATTCTTACAACCTTGCTACTTAATATTGTGATTCTGTCACATGTATATACATATTTATATTAATTGTAACTATTTAATAAAAAGTAACTTAAACAGAATTTTTATTTGCTGACCTAAGTAGGCATTGCCATAATCTTTTTTTATATTACTTGTTATTGTACAATGCATATCTTTTTACTGAGAATTCAAGTTAACTAATGAATGCAATCATTCGAAAGGTGCAGTCTTCCGATATTTCTCGAGCCAAGGCAATGCCTACTACGATATTAACCAAATATTATGGTATAGAAAATATTTTAAAAATACTTTTCTAAGTTATGATATTAGAAATTTCTTCTTACTTATACACAAATGATTAATACAGTCTCTATTTTAAATGCTGTTTGTTTTATTTAAAATTATTATTATTACTTTTTGACTGGCTAAAATTTTCACAAAGAAAACAAAATGTATTGTAAGATTCAACATTTAATCTTTAAAGAAATTTACAAACATTAATATAAAAACAATGACATATAAATTAACGGAATCTTAATAAGAATTCATTTTTCCTCGACTAAAATGCAAAATTTTCATTGTTACAATAGAGCTTATTACCACAAATTGCCGCAAGTGCTGCCGAATATGTTTGAAAAAGGATTCTAAACGTTAAATTACGATGGTTTTCGATAACTAGTTTTGCGCCAAAAGCATAAAGAACCTTTTCTTTTTATCCCTCTTCCTCTTTTCTTCAAAGATGAGTATATTCCGCTAGCAATTCCAAGGAGTGTGTTCGAAAAGGCACGTTCCACAATTGCATTCGATTCGCAGCGAGGTGTCTTTAGGTGCTTCAAACATTTTACAGCGGAGTTTATTGTCAGCACCATCTGGCGGTGATATTGTAAAAGATGCGAAAATCTCTCGGTTGTTTAGGAAAGACAGCGGGGGTTTTCCAAGGCACAAAGCAGTTGTTCTTTTTATTTGGGGAAATACAATGACGCTGAGCGGAGGCATCTTTATTTTGGATGAGGATAATACAACCGTTACTTCTATCCGTAAAGTGAGAAGTATGGCAGATTTCTTTGGTATAAAGGATTTAGTGAAATAAAAGAAAAAAATTTCATCACAGTATAAAAGTACGCCGAATTATACGGTAGATTAAAAATAATACACACGCATATAGATAATCGGAGAAAACTCATGCCATTTTAAAAAAGAAAAATATGGAACACAAAAATATACCTTACGAAAATGAAATAAAAATTTAACTGTGTTTATTTAAAATATTTTTCAAAAGTAAATAAATTTTAAATATTCTCTTTTATTAATTTCAAAGAAAATATTATTTTCTTTTACGTTAAGTATTATTCAATTCCTACTATTAGTTCACCCTCTCTCTTTGTATATATATATATATATATATATATATGGCTATTGTAAATAGTCTTACTTTTTACTATTTTAATATCATATATATATATATACACTAGCTAGAAAAAGGTCTAAGTTCATGCACTATTGCTTACATGAACGATAAAAAAATTTAAAAGCTGGAATTTAAAAAAAAATAATAATTATATTTCATTTTGTTCATTTTAAGTACTCAGAATAATAAAAGTAAACTTGATTTGCCTTCATAGATTTTAAAATAAAGACAGATTGTAGCGATACTATCAAAAATCTAAGTAGAAAGAGTCTGTTCACTGTTTTAGTAGTAACTATACAAATCATTAAAAAGGGAATAATGAGCTAATATTTCCTTTTTAAATAAGTAGCTGGGTAAAGAAGCTATAGTAGCTGTGGTTGGATAACCTCATCATTTGAGAACGTCCTGAAGTCGTTTCAGCATATGAACTAACAAATCTGATGCTTTCTTCGGCGCTTTTCTTCCATTTGTCCTTAAGAACACTCTTCGCATATCCTTGCTAGATCCATTGTGTTGACGAATCCTATATTCAAACAAATCTCGTAGGTGTTCTGCAGGATTCAGATCAAATGACTGTGGGGCGATGTGCAGTTGATTTGGGACAATACAAGAGCCAATGTTTTACAATCTCAGCGCGGTGTGCTTAGAATCGTTGTCGTGTTGGAAACGAAACGATTATCCTAAGCCGAGTTTGGTGGCACTTTCCTTTAATAAGTTTGTTAGGACATCAAAGTAATCATATTTGTTCATAATCGATCCTATATACTCCAACTTGCAAACACCATTGCTCGCCATGCAATCCCACACGATGACTCCACCGACCGTGCTTTACCGTTGGTACTAAATGCTCTTTTTGAAGCGCTGAGCAAGGTTTCTCCCGACTCTAATTTTTTTTAATTGCCCTCATCAGAGAATATCACAGTCCTCCAGAACTCCAGAGGCTTATGTATATGATGTTTCGCAAAAGCTATCCGCTTAAGGTTGGTCATTGAAATATAAGGTTTGCTAGGAACTACTTGACTACGGTATCGTCTATTTTTCAAGATTTTACTTGCAGTATCCTCTCAAATATTTATGTTAAACTTCTCGTGAATATATGTTGCAATTTGAGTTGCAGTCAAACGCGGATCTTTTTTCACCTTTGATGTCATACTTCGTTTTTCTCTGATTGTGAGTTTAGATGGACGGCTTAAACGAGGTTTGGGTGTGTAAACTCTTGTAGATTTAAAGTTATAAAAATAATATGCTGGATACAGGAATACAGCCATCCAATGGATCTGGCTATATCCCGACGACTTTTTCCATCTTTTTACATTTTCACAATGATTTTACTCTCACTGATACTAATTTCCTTCTTTTTATTTTCCATGTCCTTGAGTTGCTTCGTGTCTCACAAAAACGTAAGAATTATTGCGTCACAATTTTCTTAAGCCATTTTACTTAATAACTGAATGCAAAAATTCTGTGTTAACTGACAAGCCTGTTTATACAAATTCCAAGAATCAAGAATATTCACACACACACACACAAATAGTGAACAGACTTTTTATGCCTACTATTTATGTGTTTTGGTACAAAACTCCCGTTATCCTAAGTAGTTTTAATTCAAAATTAATGAAATTTTGCATGCTCAATATTTAAATAATAGTTAAATTCACGAAATTTTGTTAGAACAAAATGATATTTCTATTAAATTTTATCTTTGCTGTATGATTTCTTATGGCTGAACGCAGACTTTTTCTAGCTAGTGTACACATGTATCTTGTTCAAATTTTCAATCTTTAATAAAATATTTTTTATTCATCCCCTCCAGTTCAAATACATTTTTTAAACTTATAGTGGATGGCACTTGATGTTAATGCAGTTTTTTAAAATATTAATCCATTAATTAAATTTAATTCGTAAATTAGTAGTAACGAACAAAAATAATAGTCCAGCACTATATATAAAAAGAAAAATTGCTCTTTGTGTCTCCGTAGCGCATTAAATAGCGCATTCAATTTCTAATCCAAAGGTCGTTTGCTCGAATCGCACCTGGAGTTGCCTAAATTCTTAGAATTGTGATTTATTTTCTATACTAATTTATTAGAATAATTAAACTTAATTAATTAATAAATAATAACACAAAAAAATAATAGTCCGATACCATATATAGTAAAGAAAAATGGAAACCTGCAAGGAAAATCGTTTTCATTTTGTCATTTAATAGTGTGATTCTGTCCTATGTATGTACATATTTATATTAATTGTAATTATTTAATAAAAAGTAACTAAAATAAAAAATTTCTCTGTTGACCGAAGTAGGAATTGACTTTATTTTTTTCTTTATATCTGTATATATATTTTGTGTTTACGTAATTTTGTTTCATATTGCACGGAAATTAGTTTATTTTTTTAATATGGTTTGCATATGATTTCATTTGAATTAACTCCCATAATAAGCAATGATGATTAGGGACATGGCACTAGGGTACATTTAACATGCATCTTTCCGATTTACAGTCTCATGAAGTCAGAGGTCCAATCCTAAGAAAATCCAATCGTCTAAAAGAAGTTACCACTTTCCAGTATATGCTATTATGTCTAAGGTCTTCATTTAAATTTTATTTTAGGTTTGCCACTGTAGAAATAAGTGAATGAGACCTCAAGATCCTTATTGATTTTCAAAATCTACCTTATTCGTTTTCCAAAAATTTAACTATGTAAATGTTCCACCCTGTGATCATGGTACACAACCGAAACATACATCGATGGTCAGATAGCCCAAAGGTTTGGAAAAAGATTCCATTGTACGCAATTGTGAAGAGGAGCATTGCCAATTTTTACTGATGAAAAAAAATGAAAAATGATTTTAAGATTTTTTACTTAATATTACATGTATAGCTGTATGAAAAAAACATTCATTCTGTTTTGCTCCTGGATACTTATTGTGTCTTAAAATTATATCATTTTTTTATCTACACTCATGGACAAAAAATTAGCACACCAAGAAATAATTGCTGGATCGTAACGAAACTTGGCATGAAGGTACATGTCGGAGAAAATATAAAAAAAGAAAAAAGTTTTTAAATGCATAGGCCCAATATATTTTTAGGCCCGGACTTCCTTTTTTGTAAAAAATACTGAAAAAAGTATCAAAAATTAAAAAAAGATAGATATTTTAGATATTTTTAAACGTAATGTATCTTATGAATTAAAATGATTAGGAGAGTACAGCTTCATTTTAAAATACAGAAAAGCAATTGTTCCTACTGACCGGGAATTTTTAGTTTAATACATACAAATTATATATATATATATATATATATATATCCCAAGTTGCCCCAACCATGCGTTGCTGTGGTTTTGTTTCAATAAGTTGATTTAATATTATTTTTTAGCTAACCCAATCAGTAAAATTTTATTTTGCGTTTAAAAATTTTTGGGAGAGTTAAATTTTAAAAACAAAAAACAACTTTTT